TAACAGAAATATATGAAGAATTGAAGAGACAGGATTTACTCCTGTTTTCTCTTTTCGTGTACCTTAATTATTTTGGTTTGCCTAGAGTTATATTCCGAGGCAGCAAATTAAAACTAATCTTACAAAAGAAATTGGACAGTCAGACGACAAAAGTGCTTTTAGCTGCGCTCAGAAATCGGGAGGCTGCTCGTCTAATATGCCTAAGCCTTTGGTCGAAAGATACTCGCGAATAGTCGTTTTACGATCCCCGAGAAACGTATGGTCGAGGAAATTGTTATAAGCTACCTCATTAAGTTCCTGTGCTGCCATTACACTGCAAGAGTATCATCACATATGACATTATTAGATAATTTAAAGGAGTTTATTTCTAACAGAAATGGTAATGTGGGCAGTATAGATATAATATAATGGAGTTAGTACTCACCACCGCCGAAGGTAAGCACGACACGGTAATATGTCGTCTGACCATATCCTACCAATCTTGTATTGTCCAAAACGTTCAAAGTACAGCCCTTTGCTTCCTGGTCATGAATGTTAATTAATAGTTGGTAAGTTCTTGAATCTTGCATATTCCACACACACACACACACATATATGGTCTAAATACTGAGTTTTTCGAGCAAGTGGTTAACTTTTGCTGCTTGGTGTCATTTTTTTTTTTTTTTTTTTTTNATAATTCTATTTATTATTTTTTGGTGGTTCGCAAAGCTGGTAACTTCTCAGACTCTTGCATATCCTCTCTCTATATATGACATATAATATATAAATATTGATTTTTTCGGATATAAGAGCATCCACAATGCTTTGAGTTCTTTCAAAAAAATATACTTGTCACTTAGGAAATAGACACACTCTAGAAAAATTTATATTACAATGCAAATGTAATTGGACTGAGTCCTGCTGATGTGGCAGCAAGAAAATCAGACCCGTTCTACCATTGAGTTTATTTTAGACCTAAGTAGACACCTAGTCTTTTTGCATTGGAGTTAATTTCATTACTTTTCTATATTTTTGTCTATGTCATTCAAGACTTATGTCTATTTATTTGACCCAAAGCATTGTACATGCTCTTATGTATCAATTTTGTGTATTTGCAATATTATGTGTTAATTTTAATGGTTGGAAGTAGTCATGCAGATATGGACTTTAACAATTTTTATTGGGATTTTCAATATTATAAAATACTAGAAATATTTATATTATAAATATATAAACTTAATAATTTTATCTATTGATTATCGGTATTTCATGTATGATATATCAAATTAATCAACTTTTTACGATTTTTTATTTGACAACCATGTTGCTTATACAAAAAAATATCAATAACAATTAAATCTAATTTTACAAGTAAAATTTAAATTATTTATCAATTCTAATTAAAAATAATAAATTATTATTTATTAATTAAATATATTAATCTATAAGCATATTATTGATATGAGTTTAAATATTTGTTATAATAAGGACGATCTGGTCTAATACGTGACAAGTTTTTCAAAAGTATAGAAAAAATTAAATAATTTTTTTTTATTATTTTTAATTCTTAAGCATAAATTTGTCAGCGTTTGATGATTTACTGCTTCCACTGAACGTTGAAAGAGAGGCCACGCAAAAGATAAAAGACCAGGGGATAACATTAAGAATCACATTATTCTTCTATAGTTCAACCACTCTTTTGTTCCTTGTTTATTCTTTTCCACCTTAAAGTATATTTGATTATAGAACCAGACATGCACATGATATGTCGAATTATCTTATGCACAACATAAAAAGAAAAAAAAAAAAACACACCTTTACATCTATGTTGAAAATATTCTTCATCACTATAAGATGCTCGGACTACCTGGCATTTACACAAAGAACAACAGTTAGTAACTAAACTGATAGCATAAATAGTCTCAGGCAATACAAAGTATGGCCTGATATTGCTTACCGCTGAAGTAGTATACAACAAGCCGTTTAGTGTTTCTAAAGTCACCTGAAGATAACAATTAACAAGAACACATCTCAATATGGGACAATGTATGAATAATTCGGACATTCATTTTCAGAAGAAAACTAAGAATATGAAACTTACGGCTAGAAAACGGAACTCGTGCTCCGTTTCAATAAAAGTCGGTATCTGTTTTCACAATGCAATCCCATGTCAGAATCATTTTATTGAATCCCAAAAGCTGATTTTATTTTTTTTTTTCACAGCAGAGGAATTTGCTTTATATTAAATTAGTAATACCTCTGATCTCAATATCTGAAAAGTGGTGACCACGACATTTTCTCCTTCACATGGCTCCAAACTCAAGCTTGAAATTTCCTGCAAAGGCAAATCAAGCTTCAAAACAACCCATATCACAAGTTTCTTCATAACATAGAATTAATAATGTAAACAATCAGAAAACAATAAAAGAAGGGGGCAAAAAAGGAAAGACAACCTTTGTTTCAGGCTTAGCAACGCCTAGTCGGAAGAAAACAGGAGAAACATGAGCAAACACTGCCCTAAATCCACTCAACCTTGCAATCGTAAAATTTATCAAATTTGGAAACACATTCCTCGCNAAGGAGGCGCCAAAAAAAAAAAAAGAAAAAAGAAAAAACAAACAATCTCCTTTGGAAATTAAACTGCTCAATTTTGCTTGGATGGGGAATTGGACGAACCGGATAGAAAAGGACCGAAGCCGCAGATAGAGACGAAGCCGTCGGAGACGATCTGGTCGAAATCGGATTCATCCATGAGCTCGAAAGGAACTCCGTCGAGCGCCGGCGGCGGCGGCGGAGGAAGCGAGTCGCCGATCGACATGGTGAGGAGTGGGCGGGAATTCAGAGGAAATTAAAAAGGAAGGCGATGGCAGGGAAAACGTGTGCGTAATTGAAATGACCGCAAGCACGAGAAAAACAGGGTACCGTAGGCTGGGTATTGTAGGGGAGTGTAGAGCCAATGTGGCTAGTCCTATACGAATGGCTATTTCAAATGAGAATCATATGGCGATTTTGAATTTGACTTCTCGGACGGAAAACGGAATCAAATTGAAAAAAGTTAATGGGTGTTTGAATCAAGATTTGTTCCAAAGATATAATCTATATATATTGAAAAAGAGAGGTCAATAAATCATTTGTGGAAACTTTTAAAAAATTGGTCAAGAACATAGAAAAATTGGGGAATATTATATTTCACATGCACGGGCTAAATTTATTTGGGGAATATTATATTTTAAGATACATAATTAAATAAAAGTTTTATAATACATAGAGAAATTGTACAATAAGATAGTATTCGATAAAAAAAAATCATATATTATTAAAGACCTCCTTGTAACAACATTATGGTTTAATTATTGGGCAACTCGTCATTCTCACAAACTAATATCTTCAACCTCTTTTAAATAATCAATTATTCAAATACATCAAATAATATTAGAAACATAATAAAATAATGTTACCAAATAGAATTGATTCGTCAATTTTGTTGACATTTTGTAAAGTTGCAAAGTCTCTGAATTGAAATCGAAACGTAAGAAAAGTTTCTTTGCACTTCAAAAATATAGTGCTCTCATGCCGGCGACAGATCGATACATACCAATGTTGCTTTCAACTTGGTAGTTTCGTATAACAATGGCCATACCCTCTTCAAGATTCCTCTCTCTAAACGCCGACAAATAGACTGCCCGTAGCCACGCCGTAATGCGATTTTCCTTGACAAATAATTTGAAACATCAAATTGAAAAATAACTAATATGGTATGTAAATACTAAATTTGAACATATGCTTATTTTTATAATGAAAAAATAATTCGAAACCATATCGCTTACAGTTTTATCATGCAAAATAAACTCGAGATGCGACTTGTATGTGCATAGGTCTCTTGTTCCTATCAACATCTTTGATTAACCCAAATGATTGATCCATTGCAAAGAATGTGATTTTATGTTGATCGTAAGATATATGTATTGTTGTTAAAAGAGAGTTTAAAATCGGTAAAAAAATCTTGTAGAAATTTGTCCAATGTAGACTTTTGTAAATAAAGAAATAATCAATCTCTTTACGTACACATTATTCTCGAGTTTGAAACAAAATCTCGAGTTTAAATCCATTTAAATTTGACTTTTAAAATAAAATATTGTGGAAAGAGATGAATTCTAGTTGATTTGAAATTCCTATTCCATATATTGTGGAAAGAGATTAATTGTCGTTGATTTGAAATTCCTATTCCATCGTATTTTGATATTTTGATATGGATTTGTATTTGGGATGAATAACCCAATTCCTTTATTTTAGGATATCTGATTTCAATGTGTATTTCAAATTAGATTCCAAATTTGTAAGTGGAATTCGATTTCAATTCGATATTGAGTCGGTGGAATCGATTTTATGTAAAAAAAAATCCGAAATTAATTGTATTATGAAATCCATTCTTTTCTTCTTCCCGAAATGGGATGGCCCCCGAGATGAACTAAGAACCTTTCTTAGGTACACCAATTTCAAAGGCAAATATAATTTTTTAATCAATAACAATGCATTGACACCATGTTTTAAAACATATGAAGGACAATAACTAAATTCAATTTGCAAATGCATCCCCTAATAACAAATGTGTTTTAAGCAGCTAACTTTAATATGAGCACAAAACATAATTCTGGAAAAAGGTAAAGTAAAAATACAAATATTGGTGGAGCGCAATTATCCTAAGCATCTCAACCATAAAATTTCAAATATTTGAGTTGCTCGCACAGCAAAACGATTCAAGAACAAAAATTAACCAAATGTCAACATTAATTACACGAAATATCACTGTCGAGGTTTGACTTTTGTTTATCAGTTCAAGGCAAGAGACTCGAAACTATGTTACTATAGGCAGCAATAAAAATAGTCCAATGTGCTTTTACCCAGCTCCAACATCACTAACCAAAATTAAGATCTAAACTGTCTTGACAGGAACATAACAAACTTGTGAACATTAGAATAAAAAAATAGCCAATATCTAAAGCAGGAAATATTGAAAAGAATCAAGAACACAGAGAGGTTTAGCTTTAACTGTATACCGAAACAGAACAATCATAGAAAACCACATTCCTTATATATCAATCAACATACCAAATAAGATTTTTATCCTCATCATTCAACATTCAAATTCAGAAAAATATCCAATAGATATCACCTAAAGACATTCGTAAAACTTCACCTCAGATCACCACACAGCACTTTATGTCTTCAGGATTATCTGGATCAAAATTTCCGTCACTATGAACATCATATTGTAGTGAACTAATAGAAAACATGGTCTCTTTAGAGATAAAAATAATAACACGCACTTCATTCCATTTAATCTAATGGGCATATTAATACAAGGAGCAGTACTTGTTGGGGTTTCCGCTAAGGTACAGATAGAAAATTTCACTTGTGGAACACTACTTGCCACAATCCCACCTCGCTTTTCACCCTCTCGACCGTTCATACCCACTTCACATTATCATTGACCATAGGAAACCTGGGTTTCCTTTTGCCTAGACAGTTTAGCCCAAAGTTTGCTTCGCTTGGCAAAAACCGCTAGAGCAGCTCGTTTAATATTTTGATTTCCCTTTCGTAGAGTAACATGAAAAAGATAATACACTTCGACATGTACCACAAGTTAGATTTTTGTTCCTTTCTTTTTTTTTTTTTTGGGTAAGATCAATGTAATAAATAAGAAGTAAAACAGGTTTTATTCCGAGAAACTTGTATAATCACATTATTCAACATTTATCAGGTTAAATAACCACATTCACAAACATAATGATCATTTTTAAATGATTTTTGTACCTTGATTTCTAGTCTCAGTGATTGCAGCACACACCGAATGAAATGAAGCTGGGCATTATTACCACTGATGGCCAATGTCTCTGCAGCCATCTAAAGCAAGCTATGCTTCACCTCCAATAGTTCCCTTTCCTACACCATGGTATATTCACAAAATTTCCTCAACAAATGGGTAAAATAATAGAGACCAGTAGTTCCCCAACTCATATAAAATCGAAATATGAGATATCTAGCACTTTGGAAAATATAAAATTCTAACCTCCAAATCAGAATAAGCAAGGAAAAGTTTCAAGTTTGAGGTTGCTACGCTCTAATTTGTTAACAGAAAAGCCAAGCCACCACTGGACACCAACAACTGTGTGAAAACATAATTTCAGCAGAGCCTCATTTACATATTAAATTTCACATTATGGATTTATCTTTTCTTAAATTAAGTGGAAGACAAACATAACTTCTCAACCAAACACAATTCGAGTTCTAATAATATCACCAAGAATTTGGTTCTTCATTATTACCCTTGCAGAAGTGAAATCGATGCCATTTTGTTCAGCTTCTTTTCATCAGGAAGGCCGATTTATGAATTATCGGCTCTTGCCTCACAACTCTGCCTTAAATACACAAAACCTTCCTGATGTTAAAATGACATATCTAAAACAACTCCCAAATGATTCATAAAAAATATAAAAGAATCAATAATATATGCACTCAAGCGCATGTACTTCCAGACCAAGGAAAAAAGCGATAACTGGAGTTGTACCTTAGAGAAAACATTGATTGTTTGGAAGAAAGTCTGCCTTGAGGCGGTGATCCCCACCGACAATCCTCACAATTGCTCCTGATTGTCCAACAGCTCAAATCTCTTATTTTCGGTCATCGCTGGGAAGTCACATTATCACATTCACCTGTCGGACAGTTCCATCGCCTTGCACTTGCTCAAAATGATCAAACCTAAACAAATCATAGATACCCCAAATTACATCACAAATAATTATATCAATCATCTATGATAATAATAAATAACTAACAATAAAAAAGACAAATTTATTCTTAAATGTCAAGAGAACCTTGGAGGAAGTTAAGCAACTTCTGCCTCCACACTTTGATAGAAGGGTGGGATAAAAGGGTGTTGCACAGGTTTAGACATAATAATCATGGTCATGAAAAGCCAAAAATAGAGAAAAAAAAAACCCATAAAAAACCAAGAAACTGAAAGGTGTAACCATTTTCACAATTACTCCATGATTGAAAAAAAAAAGTGATATTTAATGAAAATTTAGTTTGAAGAACAGACCCATTGTTGAAGAGATAACATGGAGCCTTTCACCCTAACGCTCGACTTCTAATTTTTGGTTTTCGAACCCGTGTGCCTCTCACAATCACTGAGTTCCTGCTTTTCAATTCCACATGAGCCACACTTGCAAGCAACTCTATACAAGGTTGTGATAGATAGAATTANAACCAATATATATATATATATATATATATATATATATATATATAAACAATTTAAAAGTCCCATTGGCAGCAAAACACACTTTGATTTATACTGGTAGGTTTCGAGATCGCATAATTCAATGTTAAACCTACCTTGGCATTCCGGACAATAATAATTACTTGTTCCTAGAGCATGGGGTTTGATCCCAGAATTGCCCACCAACCCATTTTACAAAAATAGAAGAAAGAAAAAGAAAAAAAAGAAAAAAAAAAGATGATGATTAAATGGTCATAGCAGCTGGTTTTCTACAATTCACTGTCAAGAATGGTCATAGCAGTGGGTTTTCTACAATCCACTGTAATTTCGAAAGGATGACATCATTGAAGCCTAGGGATCTCATTTCTCTAATAAACCAAATGAGGAAAAACAACAGACGGATTAAGAAGAAGAGAAGAAAAGGAAAAAATGGAACAAATTCTTACATCAATGTTATACACAACAATGTCGCCTGGGGTCTCGAGGCATTTGCAAGAACAAAATGTGTCCCTGTAAAGGAAATTTGTTAGTACTAAGTGGTATAACATCAATTTCATTACTGGGAAAGCGGTAAAACGTATAAACCATAAATTCTTAAGTGCTCTTGCATTTAGATTTCAAGATCTAAATAAAGTCTTAGTATTAAAAGATAAAGTTCTTTATTTTAAGGAATATATAAATATATGCAGCCATACCCTAGCAAATCCAGACTCCATGCTTTCAAAAAGAACAACAACCAGTGACTCGCTTCCAGTAATGCACACCAACGTTTTCCATATAATCAATGCGGATGAAATGATCATACCTTAAGTTGGGGAAAAAAAAAAGGAAAGATAAAAGAAAAAGGAATCAACACTTTTGATAAATTGGGCTTACAAATCACAACTCCAAAATACCAAAATGTACATATATACACATTGTAGGTACCCTTCCTAAGTCCCACAACTACAATTGGTGTTACGTAAAAAATAAAAGCTGCAAAAGTCCAGGCGTACCTCTCTCTGTCTCCAGTTCGCCGCTCCGCTGGGTCTCCCTCACGGCAAAAATTTAATTCCCAATCCCTATCACAACCCATCTCATGCTTCTCTCCATCATCTCTCTCCCTCTCCCTCCTCTCTCTATCCTCCAGCTCCCGCCTCACCTCGACCTCCGCTTGCTTCCGCTTTCGCTCTCTCTCTTGTACTCCGTCGACCAATGACCCGTAATTACCTATTTCAGCAACCATTGTACTAAGTTGTGCATCGTTTGTCTGATAGCATAATGAAAATAGCCGAAAGATGAATCTTGCACAATCAAAAACAACACAGGTAACAGAATCCATCAAACAAACCTTATAATCATATAAAAAAAACATATGAAATAAAATCAAAATTTTACAAAGTTTACCTCTCTTGCGCTCACCCTTGAGATTCACGTTGGACTCCTGTGTCGTCATCGGCAGAGGCGTACCATCTGCACCATTTTCTCATCGGATCGACCTTCACCTGACACCATTTCCTCATCTGATCGACCTACACAATTTTGTTAACGATAAAAAAGGATTGATTTTGATAAGATTTTAAATTGATTTTGATAAGGTTGTGTAACATCCGCCCCTTATTAGGAATTTTAGTTGATTTTTGTACATATCTTCCTCCAAAACGTGTGGACTTTTATGCGGGCAAATAAAAAAGAGGAATGCATCACAACAGATTTCATTAAAATCTTCTGAGCGCGTGAACCATTTAATCCGATAAATATGGAATGATTTTTGCCATTAATTACAATAACGTGTGAATTGTGATATGGACTGATTTTTACCAAATGAGCGCGTTAATGAGTTTCGGATGTTTAAAATGGATTTTTAAAATGGTTGCCATATTCAGTAAGTCAAAAGGGTTGACTGCGAATTTTTTAAAACTTTCCTCATTTGATTTATTGACCTCTCTTTTTCAATATATATAGATTTGTGAAAATAATAGCACCATGTATAATTAAAAATAGCATCAAATATAGTTCTCACGGTTCTCACACCAGAACTAGTTTTTATTTGAATCAGTCCCTATATATATATACTAGTACGGTACCCGTGCGATGCACGGGAACATTTATTACCTATTTATTTTTTAAAAGGTATTTTTGTATTTAAATTGTCTCATGCCATTAAAAATTTCATGAAAATAAAATTTATATGTTATTAAACACTTCCTTATGTAGAACATTATTGATTTGATTCTTTGGCACGTAAACTACTACATAGGTGTTAGAATTTATCCAAAGTTGCATATTATTAGTTATTAGTTAATAAATTTTTTTAAAAAAAATTAAAGGATCTTATTTATTAAACAAAATTAAAGTAGAAACAAAAGTAGAATTTTTTAGGGATTTTCACTCATTATTTATTTAAATCTAATTCTAAATTTCAATTAAGAAAAATTGAAAAGAATCATTAGTTACTCTTGGAAATGAAACCGATTTTCCTACCAATAAACCGATTTTTATATCAAACAAATTTATCAGAATATTTTTTTAAATCAAATAAAAAAATCTTCAATTTTTCCTAAAAATGCAACTGAATTTTGCTAACATTGCACCGATTTTTGTACCAAACAAATTGAATTGAAAATAATTTTAATAAAAAATTAAAACAAATTGTTAATTTTTATGCAATTGTCTTTTTTTTTAAAGAAAATGATATGAACTTACCAAAATCACCGTAAAACGTGGTTAAGAAAAAACATAAAAATCCAAAAAAATCGATGCATTTAAATTTTGAAAAGTTGCACACAATTTTTCCTAGTTAATTGGATAAGGTGACGTTAAATATCAATGATGAACCGCTTTTATTACCAACAATTGTGGACACAATTTTTGAATGTACATCCCGTCCAAATATCAATTTTATTTTAAAATAAAAATTGCACGTGGCTTTATCCAATTTACACAATTTTTTTGAAAGAAAAAAGTATTCAATAAGATTGGAAGAATTGATTAAGAATTATACAACTATTTGCTTCCTAAATTTGTATCCAATTTGCACGGTTTTTAAATTAATTTATATTTAAAATTGTTTTCATAAATAATTGACATATTTTTTGCATAAGAATCTATAAATTTGTTACCAAAAAAGATGATTTAAATTTTGGTTAAAACAATAAAATATGAACAAAAAAAATGAGATTTAAATTTTCCAATAAGAATCTCCAAATTTGTTACCAAAAAAATAGGATTTAGATTTTGTTACTTAAGATTTACATGTGTTTTTTTGAACTTTCCATTAATAGTAAGTCAAATATTATTTTTATTTGGTCAAAATTTCTATTAATGTATTTTTCCAACAACCTCTTTATATATTTATAGATATATATATTTAGAGACTGATTAAGAAAATGAATTTAGAATTAAAGATTTATATATACACAGCATAATTAACCGGACAAAAGAATAATTTATCATTTATTTGCCTTACAAGCATATACGAAGCATTTCCCGGGCACAAGCTTATTTTTGGTCTCCCTTCCGAAAATCCAACAAAAGCTCACAAATCCTGAAGATGGCGAACAAGCTTATCAGTGAAATGGGTCTCCCAAGATCAATTGCCAACATATTCGCCGCTCGCAATATCATCACCTCGAAGGTAAGTTGTGTTCGATTACGACTACATTGCGTAACACTATCATTTATCCCTTTTACCCAAATCCTTTCGGGCCAAACTCGAAGATTTATGCAAGTTTAATTCTTCGTCGTGTTGTGATTCATGAGATCTGCTTTTTTGGCGCACACTGTTTGATGCTAGAGTTAGCTGAATTGCGGCATCCTGTTGTAATGAAGCTGTTTGGATTTGGGGATGTAATTTATGATACTAATCGAATTGTTGAACCATTTGAGTCCGTCTCGTAATTTCAACCGATGTCTGTTAAATTGGTGTTTTGTTTCTAGGATGCACTTTCTCTGAGTGAGTTCGAGCTGATGGAATTGTTGGATGTTGGGCTGGAAGAAGTATTGCTAGCAGTGGCTCACATTAGTGAATTCACGTGCCCACATTATCAGACGGTGGGTTTTCTGGTTAAGTTGCAGGGAATTTGGTTTCGATTGCTTTTCTTGGCAGTAACCTTCTTCTATATGAGAAAAGAAATTGTATCTGTGATATTGTTTTCAGGCTATGTCACTGTTGGATCAACGGAACCGTAATGAGAACCTGGCAGGCCATCTTCCAACACGCTTAAAAGGACTTGACGAGGCCCTCTGTGGCGGAATACCATTTGGCATTGTCACGGAGTTGGTGGGTCCCGCCGGAATTGGTAAAACACAGGTAGCTCAATGATGTATGCCTGAATGTTTCTGCATTGCACCTTATTGAGTGGTTAAAATGGTTCCATTGTCTTGTTAAATGTTCTAATTTCCTAGTTGAGATTTAATATCGTCTTTGAGCGAGTGATAGTGATTTACTGGTAATCTTGTCAAAATTTTAATGTTTGAATTGATACGCATACTCTCCTTTCTTTTCCTTCCGAATTTTATTTTTGGAGGTGATGAGTTTTTACAAATCGTGCACTTTGTGATGGTTTTTGTTTTGTCTGGTAATCCTGTTTTATTCATTTTGAACTTTTAGTTTTGCCTGAAGCTTGCCTTACTGGCGTCCTTGCCCACTTCTTATGGAGGTTTAGGCGGCCGTGCAATATATGTTGATGTAGAATCCAAGTTCAGTTCAAGAAGGTATCTTAGTTTTCAAGTGCCAAGTTAAATCAAGCCACTCTTGCTCAGCTCTAAATGTTGCTGCACTTGCCTTTCAGATTGATAGAAATGGGGTTTAGTAGTTTCCCAGAAATATTTCAAATGGAAGGCCTAGCTCAAGAGGTAGGCAACTTATAACTCAAAGTTCTTTTTGTCTTTTTTCTGTTTTGTATGTCATGCATGGAATGTATATAAATTGTCTTTGGTCATACCTGGAATGTATATATGATAAAAGTCTATTTGGCAGATGGCTGGAAGGATTCTAGTTTTGCGGCCAACGTCGTTATCTGAATTTACTGACACGTAAGAAAAATCAGTACCTGTGTTGCTTGTGGCTGTATTGAGTGTGTTAGTCCCAGGATTGGGCATGGAAAGAAGATGCCTGAATGCATAACTTAATATATCAGAAATTTTATAAGAAGATGAGATGACTTCCTTAAGAGTGCTGTCTTTTGAGATTTGCAAAGTCTATGGACTACATTTGATTAGTCTAAGAGAGTGTTGTACTTTATAATTTCAACGGAACGTAAAATAGTTGCTATTTGTGTCAAAATTCATCTGCATGTATATGGTCTAAAAATTAGACTTTCAAATCCCCAAGCAAAAATTGATTTTTAGGTGTAAGGTGCTCAATATAGGACTTTATTGACCATGAAAAAGCAAACCCTTAGATTAAAGGTAAAGGTTTCGCATCAAATTCTGTGCTTGAGCTCAGTATGCATTGGGGTTGGTTACTTATACTTCCTAAACTCAAAATGCATAGGGATGTAATATATACTCAAATGGTCAAGCAAATTTCCATCTATGATCTTATATGGGTTATATTTGTTCATCTAATGGTAATAGGCTATAGAAGTATGTATTGACCTTTTTAATCTCATGGCATATGCATTTACGAGGTGTAATTGCATCAGATTTCATTCCATTCTATATCATTTTAAAGGAAATAGTTTATCAAAGTCTTTTTTGTCTTCTTCATGATGAGAATGAATTCCAAAAATGCCATTGAATGTGAGGTGCACTTGCAATGATGACAATTTTTGGATGGCTCTTGCTGTCTTCATCTTTTAGATTTATACTAAATATTTATCGAGAAGTATCCTCTGTTATCTCAACACCTACTTAAATGACATTAGCTAAATAAAGTGAAAGCCATCCTCTTCTACCTGCATTTCACTATTGGTGTCCTCCATTCCTCTTCACGAACGATACCGAAGTTGTCATTGTTTGAGAATTGAGATAATTAGCCTAAATTCTGATCTTTTAAAGAATGGTTGTCTAACTAAATGTACACTGTTTTACTTAGGAGTTGCAACGGCTGATAGAATTTTCATTCTTATTCTTTTTGATGCATAATAAAGTGTCCTGAGACATGTAGACTAAGTTCTTCTGTCATCAAGTGAAAATCCCTGTCCAAGTATTATGCAGAACAATACTTCCATTTTATTTCCTGTTGGTTGCTTAAAACCTTTTTCTCCACCTGTGTTCCTGTTAACATTTAACTGATACAGACGATTTCTTTATACTCTTTTCATATCTTGACAGCTTGCAACAAATAAAGGTTTCACTGCTCCAGCACAATGTGAAGCTGCTTATAGTAGACAGCATGGCAGCTCTTTCTTCTGGGTAATTTGGTCTCCCCCTGATATAATATATACGAATATTGGTTCATTATTCCATTTTCCTTGATCTTCCTTTTTGTAGGGACTTTGGTCAGGGACCTTCTAGACAACACCCGTTAGGTTGGCACATCTCTTTTATTAAGTGAGACTTTCTGGACATCTTTAACAACAATTTTTTTTTTTCTTTAATCAGTTTTGATATTTCATTTTCATATCCAGATCATTAGCAGAATGCTACCGGATTCCCGTAGTTGTGACAAATCAAGTACGATCTCAAGGGCGTGATGAAGCTTCGCGATATATATTTCAAGGTTATATGCCATACATATATTCCAGAAGCTCCATCTCCGCTTGGATTCTTAATTCATTTTACTTGTGAAGTTTTTCCCACAATGTTTTGAAAATATTCTTCTGGCACTGTGTTGAATGGAGATGTTTGTATGAGCGGTTCTATTCTTTGACCAAGTGAAGGGATAGAGGCCTCTCTTTTAAGATTAACCTTGATGGTTTACTTGTTTTAAATGAATAATAAAGGGTTATCTGAAAAGGATTCAGTATGGTAGGATCTAAGGCCCCAATGTAGTATACGAAAATCAATGTTTCTTTAGAAATGCTTTTAGAAAATAAAGGAACATAAACAACAAGAGTCGAAAACTCGAAATTCAAAAAATGGTGTGAAAACTGTAGCAGCTAGAAGCCTCCAACTCTTATTGAGTAATGTTTTCATGGTACATTCTTGTGCAGTGCAGATAGATTGGACAGTGTTGAAGATCGTTCCAAATTCGATTCTCATCTTGTTGCTGCTTTAGGGATTCAGTGGGCCCATGCTGTTAGCATCCGTCTTGTGCTAGAATCTAGATCAGGTCTGTGTTAACCTACTGTGAAGAAATCAATTTTGGAACTTATGCTGCTGTGAATCACAAATTTATGATTGACAAGAGTCAAGAGTGAAGATCCGTTCTTAGTACGTTTCTTTGAATTTTGAATTTTGAAAAGGAAGATTGCTGAATTTCATTACTTTGTGAAGCACAAAATTATGATTGGCAAGAGTCGAGAGCGAAGATCCATTCTTTAATTTAGAAGAAAGATTGCTGAACTTCATTGCCTTCAAAGTAAATTACAATTCTAATTTACAGGCTATATGCATCAGAAAAATATAAGAAAATTTTTAAAATCAAATGGCCTATCCTAAATTAAGGAGTTCATTTTTATGTAGTGTAACATCAATAACGATCTATCTAAATTATTACAACGTTAATTAGGGTAAGTGTAATCCAATACATTCATGAGCTTGACTGCAGGACCCACACTTAGGATCATATATCAGTTAATTTTGCAGCCCTGCAGGCATTGTTTTAAAAGTTTTTAGCCTGAAAATTCCAAGACGTTGCCTGCAGGACAAAGGCTTATAAAGATAGCAAAATCTTCAATATCTCCATCGGTTGGATTCTTCTTCAACATAACTTCATCAGGGATTTCATTACTTGATGATGAAGGAATGGAGATGATGGGACCGGAGGCAAACACAATACACTGCCAAGGTTCTGTATAACTCTTTTGTTTCCTCTTTCATATTCTTTGGAGTGTACGATAGCAGTGAAACTATGATGAATAAATCTAAAAGGAATAAGCATTCCAAGACCTAAAATTTCATAATAAAAAAAATAATGAAAAAAAAGTATATTTTGTTGTAATGACTAATCTCCTTCTACTAGCGATACGGATTTGTTTATGTATTTTGCTCAGTATCCCTGGACTTCCATATTTCTTGAGAAAAGAGCTATAAATCACTGTGATATTTATGCCATCTGTGCAGGTCATAGTGCCTTAATTAACAATGACATGGAAGTTCCGCAATGAGTAATCCTGAAGAGAGATGACATGGTATGTGGTGCAATCTTTTACTAGGTTATTGTTTGTGAATATTTTCATTCTATTCAACTTGGCAATAATATATTGGCCTTCTATTTTTTTTCATCACATGTGCTTGCCTTGAACGCTTTGACTGTGAAATATGTAACCAGATGATAATAGATGAGTCGAGAAAACAAAAAATATCTACAAGATTATTAAATACGAACCACAGGCCCACAACTGTGTAGATGGTAATTTTCAAGTTTAGCTAATTACTTGTTTAGGATCATGCATGCGTGGTGATGTAGAAATGCCATATTTTTGGGGGTCAACGAGTTTACTTGAATTTTCACCTTGTTTCATGTTTCCTGCCTTTGAAGATTCATAAATGAGCAAAAAATACCTTGACAGCAAAGTTCCTTTTACCTTAACTTTACAGAAAAAACAAGTGATATATGCTGTTTATGAAGAGAGGTTTGCTGTAGGCACGCGAATGCAAAAAATTCTTTTAAGGTTGTTGATGATATATGGACAGCTCTCGAATTGAGTAACTCGTATACTTCCTCCCGATTTGTATGCACAGTTACTTCTAAACTTGTCTTTAGTGGTAAGATAGCTTCGCCTCAAATTCAAGACTATAAGTTCGATCAAAAGTTCTAAACACAAAGAATGCAGCACAAGTTGGATAGCTATGCAACTATTTCTCTATCTTATACGGAACGATTAAATTTTGGTATCTTGATCAATACCTTTGTAAAACTTTTCCTTGCTGCTTTAGCGTGCATGTTAGAATCAAGAACAGTTAGAGATCAACTAAACAGTTAGCTATATTGTTTGTTCTGGGAAAATTAAACAAAACTTGAAAATGCAGCCAAGAAAGAAAAAGAGAGATGACTACATATTTTACTGGTTGGTTTTTTAATATAAAAAACAACATAAATATAAGCATGTTATTTGATAGCATATGATTACATTTTTGTTCACAAATTATAACGAATCGATTCGATCTGTCTAATGATTGAGTTGGCTCATATTTGTAATATATAATGTGAACACTCGGAAAAAAAAATCTGCAGCTTTTGTTGTTTTGGTTTACCAATCCTTGACAATTCGAATAAACAAATGTGGCCCTTGCTCATATTAAAATGTACCATGACTTTTTATTCAATTCTTCGCATCTTAATCTCCTCGAAGTTTCTGTACTTTTGCTTTTTTGCACTATCAGATATTTATCTTCGGTAATATAATATGCAAGTGACAAATATGTTATTGCAACTTTTCGTTTTTTTCTAGTGCAATTTGTCTTGTAATTTCTTTTAGTAGCTAGTTGCAGAATCTTGTTATCATCGAATTTTCGATGAGTTTATTAGTTTAGGATTATCTAGTTTGGTAAAGGCACATGAATATAATAATTTAATAAAAAAGAAAAGAATCATTGGGAACAATTCCGGTCATAAAGGCTTGTGGGATATGAACGAACTTGTAAAAGGGTGTAAACGGTAAAATAACGAGGTAGATATGAGCTTGAATTTGTTAACTAGGGTGATATAAGATATTTTTCCAGAAAAAAAGGGAAATATTTAATATGAAAAAATTATTTTTAGAAAAATTAAGATAAAATTTGATGTTGTGTTTCAAGTTTAGATATAGAGTGCCTTTTGCAAGAATATGTTCGAGGGTGATTGTATATATATTTTTTGGAAAATTCTATCTCGTCGGACGAGAGAAATGGAAAAGTGGAAAATTCCATTTTCCTCTTCCAGCTACTGCTCCCTCTGAGTAGAGCCCTTTTCATCTCTTTCTGATACTGACTTGAGCGTCAGAGGCTCTACGACTTAAACACTTCCGGCGTTGAGTTCTTTGCAGGTGTTTAGGGCGGTCTAGAAGCGATTTGAAAGCAGTTCGAACAGATCGGAGCTTACATGCACCAGTTCACCCCAGATCTGGGAGTAGACCCATTGAAGTACACACGCCCAACATATTTAACTCAACATATTTAATTACCACTATATTTTATTTTAAGTACAAAGAGTTTAAATTTTAGAAATAATTAAGAGGATGCTTGGATACAAAACTATCTAAAAAAAATCAAACATATTTAACTCAACAACTTTTTTTTTTTTTAATTCAACTTTAACTCAACTTTACTATCATCAATATTATCAATATAATTAAATAATATCAATCAATCATTCTTACACATCACATCAACCTTAATACTCTCTTCATCAACTCACACAATTTTAATTAATCATCACATCACATCTTCTCTCTCCACTTTTACATCAAATTAATTTTAATTATTTTATTTTAAATATTATTTTAATATACCCACTAACAACTAACCATACCACACTTTTCAAATTTAACCAACCCAAACCGAAAAATCAAAACAAAACCAAAACTTTTTATATCCAAGTGTTAGCTTTTTTAGAAGATTCTCACTGAATGAGGTGTACCTGATATCAACTTCCTGATACTCGAGTTAAGCCTTGAATATTTATGGAGTCGAGTTATTAATTAAACGATTGGACAACCAATTATCAATAATGACAATTCGGGATCGAACTTTAACGACGTGATCTTGAACCATAACGAATTGAGTTAGAATGAGTCGAGTTAAAATAAAAATTCTCCATTTTCAAGAATTTACGAGTCTTGACGAACTTAGGTCATAATGACTCGAGTTAACATAAAATTCTCTATTTCCAAACATTAACGAATCTAAAAAAATCGAGTCGTAACTAAATGAAGTTTGAGCCAAATTATCCAATCACAATTCGAACCTTAACAAACGGGTCTCAAGCGATACTCGTTTTGTTTAGATGATCTAGTCTCACTTGCACCCTTTTACATTTTGCTTATGCAAAATAAATAAATAAATAAATAAATAATAATAATAAAGTAATAAGTCTGTTACTATTTGATTGTTTGGGCTGCACATTTCAATCCACGGTTTTCTAATAGGCCTAGCATTTCCACAATCAATAGCCCCAACACAGAGTCTACTAATTAAACGCAGTCTTTAGGCCCATTATAATTTACTCATTAATCTTGAAGTGACAAGAAGACACAATTTTCTTGAACACACGAATAATGACCATTTCCGCTCAATCAAGAGTTAGAAACCTAAAAATCTCCACCTACGAGTGTACCACCTCCATGGAATGCTTTCGGTCACATCCTAACATTACCAACGAAGAAGTTGTAGATCAATATTTGTTGACAGATTTCTGTTTTGACATCGATAATACACTTAGTACTACACGGAATATGCTTACACAAATGGTGAAGGCGCTGATGTTTATCCACCAGTGCAGATATTGTCACACGGGTTACAAAGTCATTATTCTTTCGTTTTCACTGAAGGAAGTAGTCTGTTAGAGCTGGATATTGATGGGGTGAAGAACTTGGAAGGTAAAGTTATTAGAGTAATTTTTACTCTTCAATCTTGGAGTGACAAGAAGCCACAATTTTCTTGAAGACATGATTAATGACCATTTTCGCTCAATCATTTTACTATTTGACCTTGAAGAATTAGAAACCCTAAAATTCCCATCTACGAGTGTATCAACTCCATGGAGTGCTTTCAGTCACATCCCAACATGAAGTTGTAGATCAAGATTTGTTGACAGACTTCCATTTTGACATTGATGGTACACTTAGTACTACACGGAAGATGCTTACACAAATGGTGAAACTGATGTTTATTCACCAGTGCAGATATTGTCACACGGGATTACAAAGTCATTATTCTTTCGTTTTGACTGAAGGAAATGGTCTTTTAGAACTGGATATTGGTGGGGTGAAGAACTTGGAAGATAAAGTTATTAGAGTAATTTAATTTTTAAGCGTTTGTAAGGAATTGTTTGTAACAGAAATTACAAACACCTAAAAATTAAATTACTCTAATAACCTTACCTTCCAAGTTCTTCACCCCACCAATATCCAGCTCTAACAGACCACTTCCTTCAGTGAAAATGAAAGTGAAAATGAAAGAATAATGACTTTGTAATCTCGTGTGACAATATCCTAGTGGATAAACATCAGCACCTTCACCATTTGTGTAAGCATATTCCGTGTAGTACTGAGTGTACCATCGATGTCAAAACGGAAGTCTGTCAACAAATCTTGATCTATAACTTCATGTTGGGATGTGACTGAAAGCACTCCATAGAGGTGGTACACTAGCAGATGGAGATTTTAGTTGGGATGTGACTGAAAGCACTCCATAGAGGTGGTACACTTGCAGATGGAGATTTTAGGGTTTCTAACTCTTTAAGAGTTAAATAATGGGGTGATTGAGCGGAAATGGTCATTAATCCTGTCTTCAAGAAAATTGTGGCTTCTTGTCACTCCAAGATTGAAGAGTAAATTATAATGGACCTAAAGACTCTGTGTTTGAGCTATTGACAGTGGAAATGCTGGGTCTATTAGAAAACCACCGTGGAGTAAAATGTGCAGCCCAAACAGTCAAATAATAACAGACTTATTACTTTATTATTATTATTTATTTTTTTTGCATAAGCAAAATTACAAACACTTAAAAATTAAATTACTCTAATAACCTTACCTTCCAAGTTCTTCACCCCACCAATATCCAACTCTAACAGACCACTTCTTTTAGTGAAAACGAAATAATAATGACTTTGTAATCCCGTGTGACAATATCCGCACTGGTGGATAAACATCAGCACCTTCACTATTTGTGTAAGCATATTTCGTGTAGTACTAAGTGTACCATCGATGTCAAAATGGAAGTCTGTCAACAAATCTTGATCTACAACTTTTTCTAAGTGTACCATGTCAAAACGGAAGTCTGTCAACAAATCTTGATCTACAACTTTTTCGCTGGTAATGTTGGGATGTGACCGAATGCACTCCATGGAAGTGGTACACTCGCAGATGGAGATTTTAGGTTTCTAACTCTTCCAGAGTTAAATAATGAGGTGAAATCGTTATTAATCGTGTCTTCAAGAAAATTGTGGCTTTCACTCTAAGATTGAAGAGTAAATTATAATGGGCCTAAAGACGGGCGTTTAGTTAATAGGCTCTGTGTTTGGGCTATTGACGGTGGAAATGCTGGGCCTATTAAAAAACCGTGGATTGAAATGTGCAGCCCAAACAGTCAAATAGTAACAGACTTATTACTTTTTTTTTTTTATTATTATTATTAGTAATTTGCATAAGCAAAATGTAAAAGATGCGAGTGAGACTAGAGCATCTAAACAAAACGAGTATCGCTTGAGACCCGTTTGTTAAGGTTCGAATTGGGATAATTTGATTAACAAGATGTGCTCAAACTTCATTTAGTTATGACTCGATTTTTTGAGATTCGTTAATGCTTGAAGATAGAGAATTTTATGTTAACTCGACTTATTATGACCTAAGTTCGTCAAGACTCATATATTCTTGAAAATGGAGAAATTTTTATAACTCAATTTGTTATGGTTCAAGATCACGTCGTTAAAGTTCGATGTCGAATTGTCATTATTGATAATTGTTCGTCCATTCATTTAATTAATAACCCAGCTCGATAAATATTCAAGGCTTAACTCGAGTATCAGGAAGTTGATATCAGGTACACCCCATTCAATGAGAATCTCCTAAAAAAGCTAACTCTTGGATATAAAAAGTTTTTAATTATATTGATTATAGTGAGGTTGTGTTAAAGTTAAATTAAAAAAAAAAAATGTTGTTGAGTTAAATATGTTTGAATTTTTTTGAGATAGTTTTGTATCCAAGCATCCTCTTAACTATTTCTAAAATTTAAACTCTTTGTACTTAAAATAAAATATAGAGGTAATTAAATATGTTGGGTGTGTGTACCTTATTGGTTCTACTCCCAGATCTGGGGTGAACCGGTGGATGTGAGCTCTGATCTGTTCGAACTGCTTTCAAATCGCTTCTAGACCGCCGGAAACACCTGCAAGAACTCAACGCCGGAAGTGTTTCAGGCGTAGAGCCTCCGACGCTCAAGTCAGTATCAGAAAGAGATGAAAAGGGCTCTGCTCAGAGGGAGCAGCAGCTGGAAGAGAAAAATGGAATAGAAAGTGTAGAAGTTAGGGTTTAGAGTTACCTCATCCTTTTTATATAGAGGAAAATACCTACCTGTTATACCCAAAATTCCCTAGTCGATTCGATTCCAATCACCTCCTACTCATATCCGAGTCAGCTCAAGATTCTTCTTATCCAATGAAGATTCGCCCTTATTAAGGGGACTTGTTAGGAGATGCTGAAATGTCTCAAGTCGTCATGCACTTAAAATCTCGGAGTGTGAGAAGTCGACCTCGAGTATCAAGAGGTCGACTTAGGGATCTCGTACAGGAACATATCAGGAGGCTCTGCCACTTCTCTTCGAATCTTCTTCACCTTCTTGATGTAGTAAATCGACTTTGGGTTATCCGCCCTTGACTTATATAGTTTAAGGAGTCGATGTTGAAGCCGACCTGAGATTGTCGACTTTCTCCGTTATAGCGATGCAGTGGAGGTCGTCCTAAGGAAGTCAACTTCCTTCTTAAAACTTAATACGTATAAAGAGAGAGTCGACTATCGGGGTGTCGACTTAAGGATGTCGTCATCAGAGTATTTCGGTCGACATGTAGATGGTTCAACTCGTCATTCAGGTCGAGTGGCAAGATCTTAAACTGGTATCTCATAATATGGATATATCAAATATGTTCGAGGGCGATTGTATATATTTTTTGGAAAATTCTATCTCGTCGGACGAGAGAAATGGAAAAGTGGAAAATTGGGGGAGTAATAAAATATTTTTATATTCTGAATGAAGTTAAGATAAAAATATAAAATCCATCCGATATATAAATGTTGATTTTTTTGAACCTACATGTTGTAATCTTGTGTGTTTAGGTTCTTCGGAGTAGTACATGTGAACTTTTTATTATTATCCATGAACTTTTAAAATTATAAAATATTTTATTAATTTAAATTTTAAATATATTTTAAAATCTAATAACTTTGTTTATTTGTTATTTTTTTTTCTTTTCCCAAAACGATAGAGGTAATATATAACTAGAACCGCAAAAGGTGCGAAAAGAAAGCAGCCGATAGCTGAAAAGTACAACGAAACCTAAAACTGGTAGGACAATCCGAAGATCGCCTAAATCCTAAACTAGCAAACGCTAGAAAAGCAACTTAAATAACACAACACTACAAACACAATAAAAAACTACGAAACTATCCCAACGAGATAATGTTCTAGTGTGGGATTCCAACAGGATAATAAGTTCACACTCGGGCTCACATGGGCCAACAGCCCAAACCAAAAACACAGGACATGGATACATAGGTAAAGAGCCCAAACCAAAACACAAACCTTCTACAGAACAAGACAAAGAAAAATCACAATCTAAGTAAGAAGGCCCTTCCACAGCAAATCAGCCAGCCCTAACCAGAGGAGAACAGTTGATATCAAAGAATAGTCCAAGTCATAGGGACGGCTTCTAAAACTGCCACAAGGCCTATACAAAAAGTCGATCCCGAACACAAACCAACTTCCGAAACAACCCGCCTCAACCGGAGGGACAACTGAAACCGTACCCACTCTAGCACTGCCTGAGCACGTCTAACACCACTAGACGAGCTAAAGAGCACCAGAACCCCGCCGTCTAAAACCACTAGCCGAAACAGGGGGGCGGCTCAGGCCCGCAACTCGGACACACCATCAGAGCCCCGCCCCACCTCTCGACCTACAAACCAGCCAATATCACCGCAGTCCACCAGCACCAGGAAGAGAAAACCCCCTTACGGAGTTCCGCCAGAAAAACAAAACCGTCCGAGGGGCCCTCCGTTCGCATACAGAAGCAGAATTAGGAACAAAAGCAGAAATTGGAGAAAGACTCACCTCCAATCGAGACCGGCGGGCAAACAACGCCATCAATTGCAAACCGATCGATGACCAAAGAGCTCGCCGCCTCCAACTGCCACAAAGCCGACGAATAAGGGCTGGGCAGACCAACAGTGTCAGGGAAGGCCGGGACAGCAGAGGAGGGGCGGCTGTCGAGCGCGACCACCGGCCGGCGCTACACCGCCGTCGAGGAAGGCGACACGAAACAGGAGAGAAAAGGGGCTAGGTTTTCGGACACGAAACATGAGAGAAAAGGGGCTAGGTTTTTTTTTTTTATCTACTTTTTATATGTAATATATTAAATTAACTTCCATTTGATATCTATATTGCACACATAAATAAAAAATCTATCCACTTTTATAAATAAATATAATTATTGTCCTAATAAAAATAATAATAATATAATTATTAATTATATTTATATCTCAAGCTTATTATATGGTATGAGTTAGAAAAATTATTATAAGATATGATGAGCTAATTTTGCAGATAATGGGTGTTGTTTTAAATAAAAGAAAAAATTATTGAAAATTTAAATAATAATTCTTGCTTTTTAACCTTTTATATATAAAAATTTCAATTAACACTCGCATACATTAGTATTATAACATGTTTTTGCAATGTTAAAAATAATAAAATGTTGATTGAAAAAATAAATGTATATGCAGATGAATAATATTTTTTATTGAAAAAAGTTGTAAAGCAAATGATTGTTTTTTTATCTATTTCGAAACTATTTTGACTCAAACAACA